TTATGGTATGAATAACAACATCCAGCACATATATGACACAAAATAAGGAAAAGCATTATCACATAAGGCCAATGTTTCAGTTTGGGTTGATTATTTTTCATTATTTTGTTTAGAAAGCTCATAATGCTCTTAATGCTATGGTGTATATATGCTATTGCTTTATGGGTAATGTAGTGATGATTTACATGCTAGGCCATTTGGGAAATCAATGAATGCCTTTCTGTTTGTTTTTCACACCGTTTCAGTATTTTACTGTCTAAATTTCCTCACAGTGCAACAGTCACACACCAGCTCTAAGAGCAGAAGGTGATTCTTGTGTGCTGTTGGTTTTGAGCTCTGTTCCCCACCCCGGCCTACACACACCCCTTTCTAGAGCTTAACCTTGATACAGCAGACACGAGTAGAACATGCTGCTCCTTTGAGTCCTGCTAAGTAGATTTATAATTACAGCATGCTATCATGAAATCTGAGACCCATTATGGCTTTCCTCCCCCTTACTAAAATATAGCATGGTTAAACCTATACCATCCCAGTGCATGGGAAAGTGTATATTTCTCCATTCTGCTTTCTATTTATTCCATATCTCTTCCCCCCCACACCTTTTTTTTTTTAAATTGTAAGCATAAATCCCACCTTTGCAGCATTTCACCCTCCAAACTACACCCTACCTATACCTACAAAGGTTTTTGGTAGTTGTAGGGTGTGCTTCTGAATGTGCTGCAGTGACCTCTGTGTGTTGTCCAGCATGTTTAGATTCATTTATTTCTCCCTCTGCTTCGGCTTTATGGAGTCCACATTGTGTTAATGCTTGTGTCTATTCTTGCAGTCCTTAAAGAAGCTGAACCATGCTAACGTGATCAAGCTTAAGGAGGTAATTCGGGAAAATGATCACCTCTACTTTATATTTGAGTACATGAAGGAGAATTTGTACCAGCTCATGAAAGACAGGTGTGTGCAGTGATTTAGGTATTTCCATATTTGAAAGTGTATTTGAGTAAGGTTTGCTGTTTCTGTACTCATCCAGCTTTGAATGGTTTCTTTGTGCAGGACACGGTTATTTCCTGAATCTACTGTAAGAAATATCATGTTTCAGATACTTCAGGGGCTCGCCTTCATTCATAAACATGGTACGTCCGGTTTGGTTTGGTTTGTTTTTTTTGTTGTTTTTACTCTAGGGTGTTCATTAAATGTTGCATCCCTGCCATTTCAATCTGGCGAGATGCTCATGCACGCGTCTCTGGTTAGGTTTTTTCCACAGGGATATGAAGCCAGAGAATCTTCTGTGCATGGGCCCAGAGCTGGTGAAAATAGCTGACTTTGGGCTTGCCCGAGAGATCAGATCTCGACCGCCTTACACGGATTATGTTTCAACTAGATGGTGATTTGATTTTTTTTTTTTGTTTGTTTTCGAGCAAACATAGTTCTCATGTACTTGAAGGATGCCTAAGTCCTCTTACTCTTCTTTTTGTACCAGGTACCGAGCTCCAGAGGTGCTCCTCAGATCCACATCCTACAGTTCACCTATAGACCAGTGGGCAGTTGGCTGCATTATGGCAGAGCTGTATACCCTCAGGCCTCTTTTCCCAGGATCCAGTGAAGTAGACACCATATTCAAGATTTGCCAAGTCTTGGGTACACCAAAGAAGGTAGTTATTCACACACAGAGCCAAAAACATTTTGAGTTTGGGAGAAACAAGGTGTTACTTAATAAGAGTTGGTGTCCACCTCACTGAAACTCTATAGTGTGAGGAGCCATCTTTAAAAAAGGGTCTTTTAAAAAGACTCTTTGAGTCCTCCTTATTTGCTGTGTGCAGTTTGAGTCGACTTCTGTCAAACTAAGTGCTTATTAGTGTTGAGAACTGCTTGTGATCCTTTAGAAACATGCTACGGTGCATATGGTGGAATCATAAGGACAGGCTTGAGTGGGCGCGATCATGTCTACTGTTGGCAACGCAGCGAGAATGTGAAGCTTTTTGAGTTTTTCAAGTCTCAAAACGTGAACCGTGGACTGACTCCTCCTTCTAGAATGATTGGCCCGAGGGATATCAGCTGGCCAGTGCTATGAATTTCCGTTGGCCTCAGTGTGTTCCCAGTAATCTGAAGACACTGATCCCAAATGCAAGTCCTGAAGCCATCCATCTGATGACCGACCTGCTACAGTGGGATCCCAAGAAGAGACCAGCGTCTGCCCAGGTAGTGTCTGATTTGATGTCCTGGTATTTCCATTACTCTGTGCAGCTTAGCGAAGAGAACAAATACTTTTTTTTTTTCACAGGCTCTCAGGTATTCGTACTTCCATGTTGGCCAAGCTTTGGGGACGCCTCAGCAGATCTTGGAGCAGGGCAGGCCTCAGCCGAGCCGTGTGCCAATGCAGACTCCTTTACAGTCTCAACAGATGTTGCAGCAGCAGCCTCTGCTGCTTAAGCCTGTGCCCCCCTCCCAGCCTCCTCCTCCCAACCAACACTGCTCGCCCTCCAGGCCTCTTCAGCAGGTCCAGCACTCCCCTGCATCGGCAGCCGCCCAGGCTGCAGCGTACCAGCGGCACACAGAGCTGGTGCGAGAGCAGCAGCAGCCAAAGCACATCCTGAAGCAGGAGCAGACTGAGGGAACGCCGCAGAGCCATCTTCCTTACATCGTTGACAAGACTCTCCAGTGCAAGGTGAGGCTCCTAAATGCTTTGAAAAATCTGTGTAATCCACATCTGAGTAGCGCAAATGTAGAGCACAGAAAAAATGAATCAATGAAAGGCTAAAGAGACAAGTTGTTGCATTGTCTTTATATTCTTGGCCAATCTTGGTGTAGCAAACGAGGCAGGAGCCAGAAAATGCAAACCTGCTGAGCTATCAGTTGAAACCTAAAGGAGGAGGAGGGCGGCGGCGGTGGGGCCACGGCACAGGGCACCTCAAGGGTGACGACTGGGACGACTACGAAGAAACTGATCTGACGTCTATAAGTATTCTTGGGAAAAGTAACTTCTCCACACAGAAGTCGAGGCAGGGAGAGGGCACGCCGAGCAGGTGAGGCTCTGATCTGTTTGTGACATTTGCACATTAATTATGTGCATGCTGGTTATTCAGATCCCTCCACTTTTTTGTCTCACAGATATGGAAATATTCTGGATTTTAGCCGACCCACTGGAAATGAAGATGCACCTTTAAACCTGAACAAGACTGCATCCTATCAAGAGCCATCAAGAACTGCCTCTGCTAAGCAACATTACTTGAGGCAGTCGAGATATTTACCTGGTAATAAACAGTGTATTTTTATACATAGCAGAAGTAAGGGATGGGCTTTATTTAAAAAAAAAAAATCTATAATGTTGGGTCTCAGTTAATAGGTTTACCTAGCTCTGTTATTCTTAAATGTTGCCCATTTAAGAGTCTAATATTTATGATTGCCTTTCTGTTCATTTCAGGCATTAGTACAAAGAAGAACGTGGCCATAAATGCCAGTAAAGACTTCACTGGAAGCCATCTTTGGGGCAGCAGTAGTATTCCATTCGGAGGGACTCTGCCGAGTAGAGGCGCTCACGGTAACTTCACTGTAACCTTTAGACTCTTTGTTGTTGTTGTTGTTAAAGAGGTTCAAAGTAATGGGCTTTTGCTTTTAACTATCAGGCACAAATACAATCCCAGGTGGATACATGCCATCTTTTTACAAAAAAGACAGCGGCTCTGCCGGTCACAGAGGGCATCAGGGTCCTTCAGTGGAGACAACAGCATCAAGTGAGCACAGATCTGAGCTTTCTTTGATACCCAGTTCTTGAAAAAGGAATTTATAAAGGGAAAAAAACACTGTCTTCAAAACCCGCTTTTCGTGTTTCTTTGTTGCCGTTTCAGATTATGCAACGTGGCGGTCTGGCCGGAGCCAGATGAACACGTCTGCCAACATGCCATCGACCAACAAAAGCACCCCGGGTCTGCTGCCTCGCCCGCCGCTGCAGACTATTCATGGGCGAACGGACTGGTCTGCCAAATACGGACACCGCTAGTGGCCTCGCCCCTGAGCTCCGATCTGTGCCCTAAGAACTGTTTCTCTCCAAAGAGTAGGCATAGTCGTTTTATAATCAAAATGTGTACATAAATCTTACACAGCAATAAATTCAGTTTTGTCGTGCGTACCATGGATGTTGTGATATGTAAAATATTTAAGTAAACAGGTAGAATGCAACCTGCCAAAATGTGAGCCCAGATTTGCTCATCAGTGTTTTATTTTGTATTTCTGGAGCTGAACGTATGTCCTGCGGAGGTTGCATTCGCAGTTTTGTATCATATCTGTTGTTTACCACATGTACACATTATATGCATACTGTAACTATTCACTGTGACTTTTTTTGGCTGACAAGTTACTTTGCCTCTGTACAGTAGTAATGTTTTTCTTTTTACATGATTATTCTTTTGTTTTACAGTGATTGCATTTCCAATCAGGTAGCTGTCATTTATGTGTTATCTCCTTCTCTATGTCACTGAATTTTAATGCAATTCAAGGGGTTGTGACATTGTATAGATCCGTTTCTGTTCAGTAACACATTTAACCCCTCTCGGCCAAACTGAGTGTAATTATTGAAATGCAGGTTATCAAGTACAATTAAACTTTTTGACTGGGTACTGGTATTCGCACAGTTTATTCTTTTATGAAACAATTGTAGTCGATTGAAACGTTTTATTGTTATTTCTTTTAAATGGAACTATTACCTGTCAGCCCAGTTTCCATGTCAGGCCCACAGCTGCTGCAGGATGAGCACAGCTTGGCTGCTGGATTACTCTGTCAGGGATTAATCCAGCTATTAATACTAAAGCAGATAGGTTGGGAAATATTTGGAAAGTGACACAGTTTTCATCATTTTAACTCAAAATTGGATTCTGCTTGAAGCTTTCAAGGGGTTTAACTAAAATATTCCATCAGTTGGTGTAACTAGTTTATACTCCTACCTTCTTGGATGGATTTGCTTTATTTTTCCAGCCTAAGGATGACCTGTTTCGCTTGCACAGAGAGCTCCTCTGACTCCTTGTTGTTTCAGATCGTCAGCCTATTCAACGTATGACAGCTCACAGCTGTACCTGTCAAATTCTGTTTTCTTGCTTTAAAAGGAAGAAGGCGGGATATTGAAGAACTGCATGTCCTAAACCTTTGCTCCAGTCTACATGTGAATAGCCTCATGTTAAAGTAGACATTCTGCACTTTGAGCCCATTTTCATTATTCAGCTGTAACTTGAATATATTTTGGCAAACGGCTTAATAGCAAGTAGTACGGTGTTGTGCAAACGTCTTGCAACATCCTTCATTTCTTTAGAATTTTCTTACAAGGAGCCAGATGTTATTATTATTTTATTGTGGTCTTGAGAAATAGTTCTCCAGGCTTTCTGGAGGCATTTCCAAATTTTTCTTTGGGATTTGGCTGATTATTATTATTTATTTTATTTTTTAACAAGAATGTTCTTTTTCTCAAGCCACTTTAACACTGACCTATGAATCATTAAAGCATCAAAAAAGGGACATAGCTGAGGGATAAGCCAGATTTCTGTCTACATATAACAGACAACTCTGTAAAAAGCCAATTTTTAATCAATGAAGCTTCATCAGAAATGGTCTCAGTGGAAGGGTGGCAAGAAGCCTTTCTCAGGAAAGAAAACGGGAAGAAAAAGCTGAAGTGTGCCAAATTACAGAAGAGCTGGACTGGAACTCATCATCAGCATGCACTGCTACAACCAGCATTAATGTGGAGACTGACACCAAAGAAAAACACACATTGCAGCACTATGAGTCATGCATTGGACTCCCCAAAGCCCAGACCTCAACAGCAGTGATGGGATCATCTTGACAGAGATCCAAAGAAAAGGCAGCCAACATCCAAAGAAGAGCTTTGAATGAGGAAGAAGAAGCCTGGAGAACTATTCCTGAAGACTACTTAAAGAAACTGGAAAGAAAAAAAGCTGACTAAGAGTTCACGCAATATTTTATGGACCGCTAACAGGGAGGAACTAATCTTAACATCTTGGGAATTTTTTCTTTTTTTGCTACCAAAGCACATTCACAGCCTGTGTTGGTGGGCACTGACCAATCACAGACTTCACATGTTTCCCCGCCTTCATCCTCCAGCCGCCCAAACCTTGGACTTCAATAAGTGTTATATAACAGCTGAACTTTTATTTGCACTTCTCCCTTCGCTTCAGTCACTTCTCCACGAGTGCCGGAAGGATCGCAGGTATCGCAGCTTCACATCCAGTAGTATCACTTCCATCTTCATTCAGCAGCTCATATTTCACTGTGATTGCATTGTTGTTTGTAGGTTCACGGGTTATCAGTTTAGGAAAAAATAACCAACAATCATGGGTGAAAGAGTTGTGCTGCACTATTTCAATGGGAGAGGGAAGATGGAGTCTATTCGCTGGCTTTTAACAGTCGCAGAAGTCGAGGTAAGTGCTTTTTTTGAAGACCTGCAGACTTGATCAGCTGTAACATTTGTCATTTCATGGTAAACGTTACAGCTGAATAATGAAAATGCACTCAAAGTTCAGGCTTTACATATTATTACTGTCCCAGAAACTGATCTAAATGTTTATATTCACAGTTTGATGAGAAGTTTTTGGACACCCGCGAAGAGTATTTAAAACTCGTAAATGGTGAGTTTAATAAAAACAAAACCCGTAACTAAAATATGAAAAACTGAATGAAACGGACATGAATTAAAGGGGGGATTTAACTAAAGTGAATCAGCAGTTTTTGTGGGCAAAAGGTTTCAGGAGTGTCATGACCTACAAAGATGTAGCCTAAGATGAATTATTATGCCTGGGAGTGCCACCCTGCTTTACTAGCTTCTGTGTTTACCCTGCAGATGGAAAGCTCATGTTTCAACAGGTGCCATTGGTGGAAATCGATGGCATGAAGCTCGTTCAGACAAAAGCCATCTTAAATTACCTCGCGGAGAAGTACAACATGCATGGAAAGGACCTCAAAGACCGTGTCATGTATGGTCTTTTATTTGTTTATTTATTTATCAGACATAATAAAGATAGTCTGTCTTGTAATTGAAGATTTTTTTTTTTTTTGCTGTTGTTGTTTTTGTTTTTTAGGATCAACATGTACTCCGAGGGACTGATGGACCTCATGGAAATGCTTATGGTGCTGCCCTTCAATCCAGACCCCACAGCCAAACTGGAAGAGATTGAGAAAAAAGCAAAGGAACGCTACTTTCCTGTGTTTGAAAAGGTAGAAAAACAGAATAAAATGAGTTGTTGATGATTATAATGGTTTCTGACAACTAAAGTATGTGCTATGTGTTTTTGGACAAACGTCTTAGGCTCTGACCGGACCCGTGTACCTGGTGGGAGGCAAACTAAGCCTCGCAGATGTGCTGCTGGTTGAATGCACCCTGATGCTAGAGGAGAAATGCACTGGGATTCTCAAAGACTTCTCTGCTGTTAAGGTAACGTTGACAGAAACACCTTCTTCTATCATAACACTTGGTTTTTTTTAATGACACCATGAAAGTTTGTATTTACCTTTAAAGTTACAGGCCCTTTACAGGGTTTTTTCTGGGGCATGCATGCTATTTCAGGGTATAAAGGTCCAATTTTTCAATCTTTAATAAATAAAGTTTTGGTTTAAAAAAAAAATCAGGTAAGAGGTTCTCTTTTTAGATTTTGTTTTTTCTTTATTTTATACATGGAATGGCAGTTATTATTAAACCAAGTACCGTGAAATGCTCAGTCAGCTTTCTGTGTTTCCTCACAGTCTTTCCAGGGCAGGATGATCCAAATCCCTGCCATCAACAGGTTTCTGCAGCCAGGCAGTAAGAGGAAGCCACCCCCGGGTGAAAACTATGCAAAGGCTGTCATAGAAATCTTCCAGATCAAAATATAACCTCAGTAAAAACCCATTACATTCCTGCTACATTCCTCATTAGGCTGCATGACTGGGATCAGTTATATCTGCAGGCCTACGTGGAAACAAATGCTGCACTAACACTATGGAAAGCATATGAATCTTGATGTGTGATCTTTCCTAACAATGTGAAATAAATAAATGTTGATCTTCCAAAAATATTTGAAGCTACTGTGTTTTTGTTCTGATTTTAAAAAAAAAAGAAAAAAAAAAAGATAATAATTATAATAAATTTGTGTCAAAGAAATAAAGAATGGGAAAACATTTCTTAGTAATCTGACTAAACCACCTCACTGAGCAGTAGACCGTTCCCTTTTTCAGGAGCTGAAAATTAAGTGGACAATTGACTGACCGGCACTTCTTTATGGCCAGAAACCAATATTTCCTGTTCTTTTGTTTCATGTCAAATGTTGCAGACATTTCAAGTTGATTCTTAAATCTTACTGCTTCTCACTGTACTTTTAAATATGAGGCCCCAAGAGATGTTAGTGGAAGTGAGTGTGGCGTTCACTAGTCTGTAACCCTTCTGTAGTGCTAGCTATAGGTGGCGAGTACTGCTTCAGTGACATCTGCGCCATGAACGCAAGAAAAAGGGAAGTGTAATTTTCTCATCACTGAGCAAGCAGCTGGTTTAAAGCAGGAGGGTTGAAGAACATGCACAACAAAGTCAAACAATGCTGCCCACATTACTCGTTTGAGTAATATGTTGTGATCAACTGTATCAAATGCTGCACTGAGATCCAGCAAAACTAAGACTGACATTTTTCCACTGTCTGTGTTCAGACATATGTCATTAAACACTTTGGTCAGAGCGGTTTCAGTGCTGTGGTTCTGTCTAAAACCTGACTGGAAGGCATCATAGCAGTTATTCTGTTTTAAGAAGTAATTGAACCTGGAGGTTTGTTTTCCTACACTCTCTTTTGTCATTTTTCACCAGTGTGGAGTTTCTCCAGGGAGACTTTTTCCTTGCAGAGATAACCTTCACCTTAATGGGAGCAAAAGTGTCCATTACATTTAACATTTTAGCATTGACGAGCTCATTGACTGAACCTCTGGACAGGTCAGGTGGAAGACCTGGTTAAATATCTCACAACTGTATTCAGTTATACACCGTTTTGTGATCACCGCTGTTGATATATTTGTGTGGGCTGAACTTTTACTTTCAAAGAAAACACAGTAATGATCAGACAGGCCCACATCAGACACAGTAATGTTTGAAATGCTCAGGCC